CAACTGAAACGTCAAATCGAGCATGTGATGATTGGTGATAAAACTTATACCGCATTGCAATAGATGGCGTTGCACCTTCACGTTAGCGTTATTGAATTTATAACTTCAATCGTTTATTTTTTTCTTTTTTTCTTTATTATTTGACGAATTTTAATTTAATAATTATTCATTTTTCATTTATTTTGCTTTTCATTGCATAAAAAAAAAATTCTTCGGTTTAATTACTGTTTTTCATCAAATTAAATCGTATGTGAACGTAACGTTCATTTTGGCGCTGATGCGCGTGTATGTTTTCTCTATATTGTAGAAAGAAACACACTCTATCGGCAACACATAGCTATCCGAATAAATTAAATAGTTTGAATGGGTTTTCTCTCGTCTTTATCCTGAGCAAAAAACAGCACTTGTCTTGAGCATTACCACCAACATCGAACCATTTAATTCACAATACATTTTTTTTTCGTGTGTTATGCATTTCTTCATTTTGTCTACTAAATAAATTGTCTCGTCTTCATAGATGCAACCAAAAATCGACCTTCATGCATAAATGGTATCGGTGTGGCCTTCATACATTCTTGCTGTTTTTCGTCAATCAATGGTATTTTAATCACCGTGATAATTGACTCGCGCGTAATTATTGTCTCCACTGTTGCCATTTTATGAATTGCTAGTGCATCCTCTGCCACTAAATGTGTGTTTTTTGGCAACTTTTTTTTATCTTTTCAATTTCATGTGGGAGCTCATTTGGTGAAATCCATTCCGCATTTAGATATGTTTTTTTTCCTGTTACTGCATCAAAAATTTCTTTCTGTTTGCTATGAAATTCCAGTGGCGGTATTCTGGAACACAATCCGCAAAAATAATGCGGAATTATTCCGAGCGATCAATTGTATTTTGGAAGGTGGTATCCAAACGTTCAATCAATGAAAAAGAGACAAATCCATATATAACGTTTGGATATCACCTTCCAAAATACAATTGATCGCTCGGAATAATTCCACATTATTTTTGCGGATTGTGTTCCAGAATGCCGGCACAGAGTTGTTAAAAATGCATACATCATGGAATATTGGTCATTGCTTTTCGCTTCAATTTTCACCATGTCATCATTCACTAGCTTCAAAAACGATATTTGTTCTTCTATTAAATCTTGTTCATTGTTTTCCGCATTTTTTGGACCCATTACTGCTTCGACGATTTTGCCTCCAACAAAACCTGCTGCTGAACCCAATAGCGAATACCAAAATGCTCACCGTTTCTCGTTTTTTTTCATCTTTGTTTGTATTAAATTATCCATTGCTCGAATTTCAGTTATTTTCTTGCCCATTTCATCGGTGACTTCTCTGCATGCGCTGCTATTGCTTTTTTCACACTGTTGTTCTAAATTGGCTAAGTTTTCTTCAATCATGATCAAATCTTTGTGATATCCCTCCATATCCATATATGTTATCAAATTCCGATTTCCATTTATAACTGAAATGTTGTCACACTGTTTAAATTTCACCCCAAATGTTTCGTTGAATGGTGTTATTTCGAATCCATTTGAAGCATTTGCGTTCGGTATCAGTGAGTGAAAAATGTCTGAAATTGAAACTTTAAAAGTTTGATGAATAAGACTCGACACGGTTACAGTTGTTAAATGAATGAGCTAAATTTATTATATTTGCTGCTCTTTTATACTAAATACAGTTGACCTATTTCATATATTTGCTGCTTTTTTATACTTAAACATAGTCGGCCTATTTTAATAACCTATTTCCGTGTTTTATGTTGAATATACACAGGAAACAAATTTGCTTAAAATGATGTTATGTTTGGATTTCCAAACAGTGAGAAACATGCTAAGAGAGCAACGAATGCACAGAGTATCGTATTTCGTGTTTGTTTACGCTTTGTGCCGTCTGCTTTTTTTCGTGATTCTATATTTGTAGTTGCATTGTTTGAAGACTGAATTTTGTGTTTACGTTTGCACTTGTTTTTTTCTACTGCATATTTTCCATTCCGTTCATTTATTTTCGGGTTTTTTTCTTTGTCGTTCATTTGATGTAAATCGTCATTTTCATATGATGTTTCTGCTGCATTATTTGTTTCCAAATCCGTGTCATATGGCTGAATATTGTAAATATTTTCTCTGCAATTTTCTTTATTCAAAAGCACTGACGGACCGTGCCACTATAATGTATTGTTTATTAGTTGTGTTGGTAGTAACCCTCGCGATGCGAAGTCAGCTGGGTTTGCCTTTGTATTGATATAATGCCATTGATGTTTTTCGCTATATTCGAGTATTCTGGAAACACGGTTTGCTACAAATGTTTTCCATCTGCTGATGTCACCATTTATCCATGCCAACACGATTTCACTGTCTGAGTAAAAATGTGTTTCGCATATTTTCAATTTTAACGATTTTTCACCGTGTTCATCAATTTCGCGACCAAAACATCCGCGCAAAGTTCCAACCGTGGTAGCGTTAGCTACCTTTGTTTTGGCTGCTACTAGATTTACATGGATTTCATCGTCTTTGTATACTTTCATGTAAACACATGCTCCCATCGCAGCTTCACTTGCATCCGAAAATCCATGCAACTCTATTTTTTTTTGTATTGCTACACTCTAGCCAACGCTTTGGTTTGATGTTTTTGATTAAAGGTAACTCTTCTCTTACTCACTTCTTCGTCCCAATCACATTGTTCTTTCCAAATTTCTTGCAAGAAAATTTTGTTATATATTGTAACCGGAGACATTAGTCCCAATGGGTCGTAAATGGTAGTGATTTGAGACAAAATTGCTCTCTTTGTATATTTTGATGCATTTCTTTCAATGTCCATTTTAAAACCAATTTTATCGCCCTCAAAGAACCATTTGAGACCAAGTGTTGACACATACTTATAGCCGTCGAGTTCCTTTGTTTTTAACTCGATTTCATCTTCCGGAATGCTCTCCAAAAGTTCTTCACAATTTGATACCCATTTTTTCAGTGGGAAACCTCCTTGTTGTAATACGTGCGTTATTTCTGCTCTTCTTTGTATCGCTTCTTCCACCGTGTCGCACCCGCTGCTAACATCGTCCATATACGAGTCATTCAAAATGATACTGCATGTCTCAGGAAAATTTTCCATTTCGTTTTTTGCATGGTGCTGTACAGTTACCACTGCTATGAAAGGCGAAATATTTACACCGAATGTAACCGTAGTGAGTCGATAGTCTTCAATAGATTTTTCCACACTATCTCTCCATAGAATCTTATGATACGGTTGATCTTGTTCGTCTAGTTTTACGTGCAAATACATTTTCTCTTTTTCTGCCGTGAACGCTACTGCATGTGTACGGAATCGAATTAAAATATTGAACAGATCCTCTTGTAATTTAGGGCCTGGTCGGAGTAAATCATTCAATGCAATTCCGTTTGAAGTTTTTCTGCTCGCGTCAAAAACTGGCCGTACTTTTGTTGTTGTACTGTCTTTCATCACTGGATGGTGTGGTAAATAACATTGTGGTTCGCTACTATTATTTACACATTTTACCATGTAGCCTTTCTCAATTAATTCATTAATATATGCTGTGTATGCTTCTTTCAATGCTTTATTTTTTTCAAATTTTTTCTCCATTTGGAATAATCGAGCCATTGCCATTCTTCGTGAATCACCTAATATCATGGCTAGATCACCTCTAAACGGCAACGACGCGATATAAGCTCCATCAACATCCATTCTTATCGTATTGTTGAAATAATCAACACAACTTTGCTCGTCGGGAGTAAGCATTTCTTTCTCGGAAATTTCCTCCATTTCCCAAAATTTTTGTAACTTTTCGTCCATTTCGTTCACAGTACAGGTCATACAAAGTGCTTCATTGAACTCATTTCTTTGTTTGTTTACTGGCCCGGAAATAATCCACCCCAGCTCAGTTTCTTGTAATACAAAAGATTTATCACTTGCTTTTATCATACCGGATAAAATTATTTCACTATAAACATCGGCACCAAGAATCATGTCAATTTTTTCTGATTTGTGGAAGTTTGGATCGGTCATCACTAATTCATCTGTGTCTTTGAATGAATTATCAAATTCATTGTTTGGTACAATTCCCGTGAGTTTAGTGCTGAACAACGTCGGGTATCTGGATCCGATTTCAATTGCGACTGTGCCTTTCGCTGATTCAACACTGTCGGCAATGCAAACATGTGTTTTAAGATTGCTGAGCATCTCAGCATTTCGTAAGGCACGGATATATCCGAGCATATCGACGACGCATACAGTGGCGTGCGTTGCTACGCGCAGCCGCAACGACTCGACCGGAATTTGTATGTTGTTGCTGCGTGCAGCCACATCAACTGAACACGCTTCGGTCGAGTCGTTGCGGCTGCACGTAGCAACACACGCCGCTGTATTATACAGTATGCGTCGTCGATATGCCCGGATATATCGGTGCCTTACGAAATGCTGAGATGCTCAGCAATCTTAAAACACATGTTTGCGGCAATGCCACTGATGTTTATGTTATTTTTCTTTATATTTAATTTCAATCGTTTCACTATTTTTTCGCTAATGAACGATGTCATTGAGCCTTGGTCAATTAAAACACGTATAGTTTCAGACCAACCGCACATCATTCTGATCTGAATCAAGGCTGTTGCGAGTAAAGTGTTCATGTTATTTTCATCATGTGCTGTTGCACAAATTACCGATTTGTGCTCTGTTGTTGCCACATATGATTTTTTTTGTTGATCTTTTGAATGATGCGCAAATTTCTCGTATTTCTTTTCATTTTTGTCTGATTTTTCATTGTCCATATGTAATAAACCGTTGTGACGCCTATCACACTGTGGGCACATTTTCTTAAACTTGCATTCCAGAGCTGTATGTTTTGGTGTAAGTTCAAATACATATGTATATAATGTACAGTACACCGCCAAACGATTGTTTGCAAGAAATGCGGTAAGAGAACTTTCCTAAAATATTTTCCTTACCATGGAAAAGTAACTTTTAAAAAAAAGTTTCTTTACCATGGTAAAAAAACTTTTTATTAACATTTTCCTTACCAACATATTTACAGCAATACGAAACTGACCTAGCAGTGTGGAACAGTTTGGATGCCGACCAGCGAAAAGATCAAGAATCGCCAATCCAAAAATTAAATAAAGAAGAAGTGTGCAACATTGTTCCACACTTGTGGTGCTTCTTTTTCACCAATGGCATTCCACGCAAATTTGCTGGCCAATGGAAAAAAATCGCCAACTCTACGATGTTTGGCACGCTGCCCCTTATGCCGGCTAAAACCAACGACGATGTCAATGTCGACGAAGAAGGCATTCCAAAAATCATCCGTGCTGCTCCAGCCGAGTCAATTGCAAGAGCTCAAGCCAACAATGTGCGCATACGCGAGAATGTCCGCAAGGCATTTCCAAATGTTGGCCAAATGACGGAAGAAGACCAGATACAAATGGCTGTAAGTAAACTTTGTAGAAAAATTTTCCTTACCATGGTCATTTAAATTTTTTTACTTACCACACAATGCAGCTCATGCAGTCGAAACTCCAAATGGAGAACAATTTAATGGTCTATGGTTCGAAAATTGAAGATGCATTTCGTGACGACCTCGCATTGGCCATTGGCCCAATCATCAAAACGCCGCTCTATTTGAACGAGCAAGCCGTTCCTGAATTAGTTCAGGCGGTCTTAAGTGACGGCTGCGGCCAGCGGTTTCTGAAAACCATACGTCGTATGTACCGCAACAACGCGAAGCAAATTCCAATGGAAGATAATCTTCAGAATGGTAAGTGTACTTTTCTTAACTAATTTCCTTACCATGGTTAAGCAACTTTAAAAAAAAAAAGGAACGTGGTGCTTCGATCTGTGTTTTTGGAATCCGTATTTACGGTCGGCAAGTTCAACCGAATTCAGCCGAGAAAAGACGGCAAACCAGGTGATTGGTCATCGTCCCTGGGATATTTCAACGGCAAAAATGGCCAAGTCGAATGAAATTGAGGATGGGTCATTCCAAAAAGCAAATGCCTTGCATTCGATTGTGTTGAATGGACATTCGATGGTGAGTAAACCTTTATCAAACATTTTCCTTACCATAGTAAGTAAACTTTTAAAAAACATTTTCCTTACCATGTAGGCTTCTTTCCAATTTTGCGCATCCAACGATACGCCAAACAGCCCAAAACTTGTTTATTTGAACAATTATATGTTGGATATGATTAATCGGGCTGGTTCTCGCGGTATTGGACTTGCTTTGTGCAAAAACATGTCTGATATGTTCAACAAATATTTGTGGCGCGGCGCTTCATTTGCCAGACGTGATAATGTGAACACATTGGCGGACGTAAGTTAACTTTTACCAAAAATTTTCCTTACCCCTAAGGCACAGTAAACAGAGCAATTTTTGTTTGACTATTTCACGACATTTTTGCGTGCTGAGGGCTGAATGGCTGTTCCGAGTACAGTCGCGCGCGGACTGACTGACACTGATTTGTGTATTTATTTGTTTTATAATATAAAATGTTTTCTACTCGTGGGAACAAAACTGGATGATATATTGAGAGTACCAACTTTGGGAGATTTGCAGGCATTGCAGCAACCAACTGTGATAAAAGAATCTGATCTGAGGAAGAACAAAGCAGTATTTACAAATTTTGTAAACAAGAAACAGAAGAATGTCTGGTCCGTCGACTGCGTTTTAACTGGCGATATGCTCAGAAAGTTCATAACAAAAGAATTTTTGCCGAAATATTCCGACGAAAAAACAATTTTGTTGACCGGAGTTCATGGGAATGAATACGGCTTGAATTCAAAAGGGGTCAGATTCTATATACAGTTTTACGTAACATATTGCGACTTTTTCAGAAAAACTGTTTTTTATCGAAATTTGATATTGAAGTTTTGAGGTTTTAGAACTGGATTTTGTTCAGTTTTTCATGACGAATTTTGTGGTGGTTTCAGTTTTCATTTATGATAAGCCGTTTTGAAAGAATGACTAGTTATTGGGTCTGGGAATTAATCGTGTCGATTTTTCAAAAGATGGCGTAACTTTGCATGGTTGTATCGGGCAATACTTTTTTCTTTTTCACATGAGTGGTCTAGTGTCAAACCACAAAAATCACCATCTATCATTTCATCGAAGTTTGGATAAACATTTTTTTTTGCGCCTTAAATATGTCAAATTTTGTACCGAAAAAGCAACATTTCCCGCAAGCATTAATTTTTTGCTTTCATTTGAAGAAAACTGCGGCTGAAGCGCATCGAATGTTGGTGGAAGCCTATGGTGAGCATGCTCCATCGGAACGTACATGTGAACGGTGGTTTTCATGGTTCAAAAGTGGTGATTTTAGCACGGAAGACAAGGAACGTCCCGGCCAGCCAAAAAGTTTGAAGATGCGGAATTGGAGGCATTGCTCGATGAAGATTCGAGTCAAACTCAAGATGAGCTTGCCAGAGCATTGAATGTTGACCGAAGCACTGTTGGATATCGTTTAAGGGCCCTTGGTTTCATTCGCAAGTTGTCAAATTGGGTACCACATGAATTGACGCCAGCGCAAGCTGAAAGGCGTTTAGTGACTTGCGAAATGCTGCTCGCAAGGCACAAAAAAAGAGGTTTTCTGTATCGAATTGTCACTGGTGACGAAAAATGGATTCATTACGATAACCCCAAGCGCAAAGCATCGTATGTTAAGCCCGGCCAACCAGCAACATCACAGCCAAAACAAGAAATTCACGGCGACAAGGTAATGCTGTCTATTTGGTGGGATGAGGAGGGAGTGGTGTATTATGAGCTGCTGAGAAGTGGTCAAACCATCGATGGGCCTTTCTACCGACAACAATTGATACGTTTGAAACAAGCAATCAAAGAAAAAACGCACGAAATGGGAGACCAGAAAAGAGACATTGATTTTCCTACATGACAATGCTCGGCCACACATTGAGAAATCGGTCAAAAACTACTTGGAAAATAGCGGATGGGAAGTTTTGGCTCACGCCCCTTATAGCCCAGACCTCGCTCCTTCCGACTACCATTTGTTTCGATCGATGCAAAACCATATGGACGGAGAGCGGTTCTCTTCAGTTGAAGAAATCCAAAATTGGCTCGATGCATTTATGGCCTCAAAAGATGAGGAATTTTTTAAGGCAGGCATCCGTCAATTGCCCACATTGTGGCAGAAGGTCATCGCTTCCGATGGACAATATTTTGATTGAAATGTAATTTCATTTTGATATTCAAATAAATGTTTGAAAATTTAAAAAAATCGACAAAACTAATTCCCAGACCCAATATTAACGAAAATATGTTAATAATATGTTATTAAGATTTTATCTTAATAACGAGCATTGACCAGTCGGCGAGCTTAGTACATTGATCAAAATGGAAGCCAAGCACTCTGCAAACGAATCACAAATCATAAACCCATTTGAAAAATTGGTTAAATTCCACTAAAATGAAAATTTTTCGTATGGTTCCAGTCTGCCTAGGGTATATCTAGGGTGCGATTTTTTTTTTATCAAATCCAAGCTCTCTTCATGCGCTAGCCTTTACAATAGGTCGGAATTCTTAATGCGTGTATTGAAAGAGAAATGGATCTAGCCGAAAATTGGTTAGCAAAACAGACGGATGAAGGGAATGTGCGGCGGTTGCGGGTGTGGATGAATGTGTGCTGCTGCACCCGTATGTATACCAAGGGCAAATCACTCAAAAGTAATACAACGCTGCTGAAAAAGTAATACAACGTGAAAAAAGTAATACAACTTTTTAGTGAATTGCCCCTTGATGTATACACGTGAACAATGTATTTATTCCAATGAAAATATAATAATATGTC